TTACTACAACAAGAAGCATCACAACGATATCATAAGTCACTCGCATCACAACACGACAAAAAAACACACACAAGTAGAAGAGCATCACACACATCACAGACAAAAGGATTGTCACAAACGCACGGAAGTCGCAACAAGTTGAACCAAAAGACAACAACAATAGATTGGGACGATAGCAATTCAGCGTAACGACAATCGAAAGTGAAAATTCGTATCATACCTTAATTAAATTTTAGGTAAGGCTTAACTCCAAATTCTCCTTTTCTTCACTGCAGTAATTTTGATTTTATTGCGGAGTTGAGTCAAATTCAAAACCAATTGATTGAGGGAAACAAAGAAGGTGAAAGAGAAACATCATCTTCTCTGCTGCCTACAACTCATAAGCATGGCACGACGGAGGCTTCCTTTTTCTAATACGATTCACGTGAGAGAGAGAGAAACCACCGACAAGAAGGAAAAGAAGTTGGTGCGTAGCATGAGAGAAAAGGAGAAAGAGTTGAGAGAGCCATGAAATAATGGAAGGGGAATGCTGAGAGAGAGAGAGAGAGAGAGAGAGAGAGAGAGAGAGAGAGAGAGAGAGAGAGAGAGAGAGAGAGAGAGAGAGAGAGAGAGAGAGAGAGAGAGAGAGAGAGAGAGAGAGAGAGAGAGAGAGAGAGAGAGAGAGAGAGAGAGAGAGAGAGAGAGAGAGAGAGAGAGAGAGAGAGAGAGAGAAAAAGAGAGAGAAAGAGAGAGATTTGAATGAACAGAGATTGAGAAATAAGAGAGATACGGGGGAGAAGGAACTTGTGTAGATTGAAAGAGTCTCACATGGTGCTTTAAGAAGTGGATCAGGTTGGCTCCTACACCTGGTCCAACATTTTTAGTTTCTCCTTGTGTTTTTTTCATGGGCTTGGGATATAGGCCCACCACCATCTTTATTTTCTCTTAAAAAAGCTATACACTCTTAATTTATTTTTACACCCTTTTATTCTATTTAGTTTCCATGTTACTAGTTGTTAGTTTTTTTTATTTATTAGTTAAGTTCTTAATTTTGATTAACTAAATTTCTAATGGATTAATTGGAAATCTTAAAATTTTAATTGATTAATTATTTTTCTAGTTCATCTTCATTAAAGTTTTAATTAATTTCGATGTTAATTATGATTATCTATTTGTGAATTTTCTTATGGGGGTTTGACATTCTTATATGATTTTGTTTCCCATGGCCCCTTAGGATATCCTGATTTAATTTAATATTGGATTAACTTGAACTGAGATTAGACTTTAGGATCAATCCCTCTTGCATGACAACATTAGAATTAATTCCCTTTAATCTCAACTTAGATTCATAAAATTAGGTTAGTTCCCTTAAGACTTCAACTTAGACAACTTACGGTTAAATCCCCTATTCTCCCACAAGAGAATTAGACATGATTCATCTACGTAGTTGAGATATGATTCTCCTACCTCATAACATAGTCGAGAAAGACGCAAAATCTTTTTCGCTTGGGAGAGGTATGTGGCATACTCGTCGATTAAATCCGAGTTGGAGCCCTTCTATCAATGCGACACAAAGACCGCCTTCCATATGCTTATGGTGGTTTAAGTCAAGTATTCTCCCTAAGATGATGACTTGTCTCTTCTCCAATAATCAATCAACAAACCTTCTCCCCCTTGTAACCTTGACCATAATCAAGAGTTCCTCAATCCCTTTAGGGGAACTACAAATGCTTTGATTCCACTCTGTCAGGATACTTAGGCACAAGATGCGATTTCTTGGCGAGCATACTTAGAAATAAATCCCTTAGGTCACCCTTAGAAAACAATGATAACACAAATACTAACAAGAGGTTCCTGTAGAGTACTACAGATACTTAGGATTCTAACACCTTCCCTAGGTATAACCAACCCCCGAATCTTAGATTCTCTAGCTTTGCACTGCATTGCATACTCGCAGGTTATTTGATGTTTTTCCCTTCCCTTGGATAAATTAAAGACTAGTGGTGAATAATGATTTATGATTCAAGTTAACCAATAGCTTGATATCCAATTCTCACCGTGACAGAGACAAATTATTTTATTACTTTGACGAGACTAGTACACTTCTGAGTTTAGTCCATCAATTTTTTGGGCTCATCACCGGGGATTGTTGATAATCTCAACAAGGCAATATTGTGCGATGTTTAAAATTAATTTATGGCTTTTTTGTCAATTTTTAATTATTATTTTAAGGTTTCAATTTTTATTCTACTTTTATTTTATTTGGTTTAGTGCACTGCTAGTAATGTATTGTTTGTTTGTTTGTGCGAGGTTCGAATTCGATATTGATACTAATAGACCCTGAAATCGAAAGAATAATTAACATGATTCATTGAGAAAAACGAGAAGCACTGAAAGTCATAGAGGGACCAAAGGAAGAAAGAGAAGGGATGACAGATCCCGCACGACAAACATTGGGAGACTATTGTTTGAGAACAGGTGCTGGATAGCTATCCTTGGGATTTCAACCAACTAATTTTATAACATTTTGGTATTAATAATTCTATATTAATTATGTAATTTTGTAACCCGTTCTACGGGAAGGCAATCTGAGATCCTTGAGGATCATCTCGCTAAATTCTACGAGACATGCTCAATGTGCAAGCCAAATGGTGAGATCACTGACGATTAGGTAAAATTACGTTTGTTTGGTTTTCTTTGATAGGTCGAGCTATGGATTAGCTTCAATGTATCCCAAATGGCACTATTCATACTTGGAAATATTTAGAGGATAATATTTTGGAGGGGTATTACTCAAATTCTCAATTTGTGGAGATAAAAGCTACAATTTTCAATTTTTATCAGGAAAAGTATGAGTCATCATTTGATGCATGATAAAGGTTCAAGTTGTTGCTCTATAAGTGTCCTAATCATAATATGAATGCTATGGAATAGATGACACACTTTATCAGTAGGCTAAGGACACAAACGAGAATGCTTATCGATGCCTCAACTAGAGGTACATTGAGAGCAAAGACATATGAGGAGTTGAAGACGCTAATAGAAAATATGTACCATAATGAGTATCACTTAAGTGACCGAGTAGTGAAGCAAAAAGGTATTCATTCAGTTGACTCAAACACATCATTATAGCTTAAATAAAGGTACTTTAAGAAATTAAGTTGTAACTCAACTATCCCAAGAAAATGTTAGTCAAGTTCAAAAGCTCTGGTGTGATTTTTGTGGAGAGGGACATGCAAATGGTAACTGTAAAATAGAGGTTGAGAGTATTGAAGTTCTATAAGCAAATTTTCAAAAGAATAATCCATATTCCAACACCTATAACCCTGGATGGAAAGATCATCCGAATTTTAAGTGGAGCAACAATCAAACTTTGAATGCTAATCAAGGAGTTCAATAGGTTTCCCAAATTCCTCAATGCAAACCATCACCTTTAGCGGAACTCTTGGAAAATTTCATGAAAGTAACTCAGTCATGTTTCGAACAGGAAATACTCAAGAAGACATGTTTAAAACTTAGAGGGAAATGACACAAATTCATATCACTGCGAACAAGAACATCAAAGCTTAAATAAAGAACATAGGGATGCAAATTGGCCAATTGTCTTGACAAATGGCAACCTAAGCTAGTTCAAGTGGGGGATTTATTGGTAACACCATGGATAAATTGAAAAATGAAACATGTAAGGCTATTAAGTTGAGAAACAGATTGGTACCTTTGGAACCAAAAGTGAGTGAGGAAAATAAAGAAATGAGTGAGGTCATGAAAAAAATGGAAAAGAAGCGGTAGTTGAAAAAGAGGTTGGGAAAGAGTCTAAGGGAGAAAAAAGTAAGGTAATTATTAAGGATGAAAGTAAAGGATACACCTTTGACCAATTCAATGATAAAAACTTACCCTTTAGAAGAACTAAAAAACAGATATTAAATGAACCAAATTCTGAGCTACTTGATTATGTTAAACCACTTTACCCGATTTTGAAGAAGACACCTAATAAAGAGAAGGAAGTAGGCCATTTTAAAAATTTTACAGATATGTTGGAAAAAATACAGGTTAATATTTCATTTTGTGAAGCTCTTGAACATATGTTTGTTTATGCTAAATTCATGAAAGAGCTCATGTCAGGAAAGCAAAGGTTTACTATTCCTTGTTCCATTGGTTCACTAACGACTGACCATGCCTGATGTGATTTATAAGCCAATATCAATTCGATGTCGTTATCCATGATAAAAAAGTTAAATTATGGAAAACCAAAGCCAACTAAAATTACCTTAACATTAGCTTATTGCTCAATCACATTTCCTTATGGAGTTCTTGAAGATGTCCTTGTTAGGGTCGATGTGTTATTGTTTCCAAGTGATTTTAAAATTGTTGACATGCCTAAAGATTTTGAGACACCATTATTGTTGGGAAGACCATTCCTAGAAACATGTAAGGCGCTCATTAATGTAGCATATAGGGAGTTAATATTAATGTTTAACAATGAAAAAGTCGTCTTCAATGTGTTTGAAGCGGTGAAGCAACAAAAAGAAAATCCTCGGTGTTACTAGACGAACATGATGAAAGAAATATCTAACGGGTACCATGAAAATAATTTGGTGAGAAAAGAATTTCAGATAAGACGGAAGGTTGAACTACATAAATCTCACTTGAAGAGGTTGATTGGTAAGTGGAGTTATAGACGTTCTGAGCCTTTTATTGTTAACAACGTATTTGCAGAAGGTATAGTAGAAATAAAAAATTTAGGGGATTCACGATCTTTTATTGTGAAGGGCAACAGACTAAAGATCTATTCAGGAGGTGAAATAGCATCAGAGAAGGTATTTATGATGCTAGCAAAGCCTTAGACGAAAGAGTCAAGCTAATGGCCTTAAAGAAGCGCTTAATGGGAGGCGACCCATCAAATTTTATTTTATCGCAATTTTAATTTCTTGAAGTATTTTATTGTTGATTTGATTTGATTTAATAGTTTATTAATTTTGTCGCATTTTATTATAGAACCGCTGGTTTGGAGGAAATTGATGATGGATAACCATGCAAGACCTCGAGCCAAATTCACAGTTTGGTTTCTGTTAAATGGCAAGCTTCCTACAAAGGATAGACTCAAGAAGTTTGGAGTGATTGACAGTAGTGGATGTAGTTTCTGTGATGCCGGTGAGTCCATGGACCATCTGTTTTTTGCTTGTTCAGGTTTTTGCTCCGTGTGGAGAGAGGTCCTTGGCCAGTTGAACATCAGACGCAAGCTTGCTAGCTGGGAGAATGAGAAAAATTGGTTAAATAGAGAAGCTAACAAGAACGGGTGGAAAGCTAAAATCCTCAAATTAGCAAGTATAGAGACAATTTATGAATTATGGAGAAGTAAGAATAAAAGATTGTTTAATCACAAGAAGATGGATTCCACTTTAGTTGATAAAATTATGCATAATATTGTAACTAGAAGTAACATGTATAGAGATCTAGCTGATCATGTAACTAGAATCATTGGTAGGAATTAGTGACCCTTGTAAATTATTTGGTTTATGAAATTTAATGCTTTATTAAAAAAAGAATGGAAAAAAGAAAACATGAAAAAAGGGAAGGAGAAAAGAACGAATGGTCGCATTCGTGTTTTATCACGGCCGCGGTGCATCTTAATACGGTCGTGATGGTGTGATGAAGATGACTACCAATTTGTCCACGTTCATCTTATATAAGAGATGAAGATGCATAAGGAATCATATATAAAGCCACCTCAAAATCCATCTGAACGCATCAATTGTATAGGTTGGCTATCAAAAATACAACATTTTGTTCAGATTTATTTGAAACTAGATTGTCCTACACCAAAGGCCTCACTAGAGAGGATGACACATTTTACACAAGATGATGAAACTTGGCTGAATCACTTTTTAGAAAGGATGGAAGATTTCACCAAGTTGAGTGGCATTGAAAATGAAGCAAATAAGGAAAGATCAAAGAATGAACCACTAATAGATTTTAGAAGTGACATATGATTTGATGCATTTTAGTTTAAATCTAATAATGTAACATGTTTTTTTATATAAAACACTGCCTAATGTTAAAAAATTGGGTGATATTTTTTATACAATTTTTGTGTTTTGTAATACTACTCTACATAATACCATGGTTCTGTTTTGCATAATTTTTGGGAAGTTTCGGAGATGCATCTCCGAGAAAACGTGCTAATTGTTGCACCCCAAAATTTGCCCTCTTTCAAGGCTTGACTCATTTCTTCATTTCTTTCAAATTCAATGACATAAGGGAGGCCCATCATTCCAAATTCAAGGTTCATGAATTTGAGGCTAGATTCAAGAATATTACAAAGAAAAATTTCATGACATTTTCAAGAATGTCACATTTGTTACAAAATCCAAACTATTGGTAATGCTTAGGAAATTAAGCTATTTCTAGTCTTAATTCAATTTTCTAAAAATAACTTCATGCCATGGTATCCCCCATGCCTCATCAAGTCCACATGGTCCTCTTTGTGCTTACAAACATGCAAGGAAAATATTTAAGAGCTAATTCAATGTTGGAATATCTCAAGATCAAGGCTATGCATACATTCATGGGCAATTTGAATATGGTCCAAAACAGCCCCATGCAAGAAGTGGCAATGTGTATCATATTACAAAATCATTTTATGTCACAAAACCAAGGCTATAAGCTTATGTTGATACATCTACACATCAAAAATCAGAATTTGAAAATGATGTCCAAAAGGTAGTGTATTGACTACATGAGTATGTCCAAACAAATCAACCAACCAATGGGTACAAGGATGAATAGAAAGGTAGAGTGCTGCAGAAGAAAATACAGCAAAAAAACATACTAGAAATGGAAGGAAAGTTGGGCTGCACCAAAAGGTGGTAAAAGATATTGCCAAGAATGGAAATTCTGAAAATGGAGAAGTGTGCAAGAGCTGTGGTTTTGGTACAGCAGAAAAAGACAGCAGAAAAGTGAGATAAGGAGGGAAGAAGCTGCAAACAAAAGATCATTCACTATCATTCACAACAGATTGAGATAGAGATATTGAGAGCAAAGAGTAAGAGAGAAAACCAGAAAAATAGAGAGAGCAAAAAACCAGCAAAAAGTGAAGAGAGTAAAAGAGAAACACAAGGGAGCCATTGAGGAGAGTCATCAAAGCATAGAGTGAAGAGAAGTGAACACCTAGCCAAAATCAGTGGAGGCTTTGCAAGGAGGGTAACAACTCTTGGGTATCCATTTCTTCAAACTCTTCTCTTCTTTTATATTGTGCATTTATCATTTGTTCTCTTGGTTTGAGTGTTGTTGTATTGAGTATAACATGTAAGATTCCATTTTTAAGAACCACAAAAAGAAGCAAAAAACAAGAGAAAAGTTTGGTTTTTCACCCTGGTAGCCTGACACGGGCCGTGTCACACGACACGGTCACCCGTGTCACATATATGCTTGAGTTTTCATGGCATATTTTACCTGAGTCCCCTGACACGGGCCGTGTCACACAACACGGCCACCCGTGTCACACCTCTGTTTAACTTTTTTGGCCCAAACCTTGGGACACGGGCCGTGTCATGCAACACGGGCGGCCGTGTCACACCGCTGTTTAAGTTTTTCTGCATTTTTCCCCCAGACCTTGTGACACGGGCGGCCGTGTCATGCCGCTATTTGACTCAAAACTCATTTTTTCCTGGAACTGTGACACGGCCGCCCGTGTCACACGACACGACCGCCCGTGTCACACGACACGACCGCCCGTGTCACACGACACGACCGCTCGTGTCAGACCCCTGTTTTTCACGTTTTTTCGACTTTTTTACCTCAAAAAAATTTTTCTCAAGGAATTCGCACGACGAACTCCTTGATGGAACTTCATGCCGTTTTTTTTTGTGTTTCATTTTTTTTAGCCGATTAACCCGTTGTGTTTGGTATGGTTTTTATGCATATTTATTGTTGGTTTTTGTTTTTACCTTTAGTTCTAAAAACTATTTTTAAGAAAACAAACTCTCGATTCTCATCGAGCCATTTTTGACCTTGTAAGCCGATTGCCTTGTGCGTCACCATCGACCTTGCTCGTTTCACCTCAAACCTTTTTAAGCAATTAAACCCTTGACCCAACGTCAAGCGGATTTTCTCAAACGATTGTTAAGCCAACCCACCATATTTAACAAAAGGATAAAGTTCACTTTGTATTGAACTAAAGAGAGGGGATTGAGTGTAGACTTCTTCCTCTCCGAGTGTCGAGATACTCACTGTAGTGTGGGTGGTTTTGACACTCGGCTTTCAATACGAAGATGTTTTCATCCACACCTTTTTCTCCTAAAAAACCTCGGCCCCGTACCGAGTGCATTTTCAAAACACTTACAATAAATAAATCGATTCTCTTTGTATTGAACTAAAGAGAGAGGATTGAGTGTAGACTTCTTCCTCTCCGAGTGTTGGGATATTCACTGTAGTGTGGGTGGTCTCGATACTCGTCTTTCAATATGAAGACGTGACTTTATTCGCCACCTATCTCCCTCTACAACTTCTTTTCGCAACCTTTGTCACCTAAAAACCTCGGTCCCGTACTGAGCGCATTTTAAAACTCTTTTCATAACAAAAACTTGAATGGTCGTGGAGTGGTTAGGCGTAGGTCTTCTCCTATCCCGAGTGATGACGTTTACCGTAGGGTTCTCTGTCGCAAAAGCACTTACCATTCAAAACCAAAAAACACTTTAATAAGAGAATGAAGTTCTCTTTGTATTGAACTAAAGAGAGAGGATTAAGTGTAGACTTCTTCCTCTCTGAGTGTCGAGATGCTCACTGTAGTGTGTGTGGTTTTGATACTCATCTTTCAATACGAAGACGCTATGTTCGCCACACCCTTTATAACAAAAAACTTTGAGATAAAGAATTGGGTACTACCCGTAGGGGTTACTATCCGAGGACCTATCTCTCCCCTAAAATAACATCAACAAATCGTAGGCCGAACTACGGCTGCTCTGATTCTTTACTTCTTCAAGTAAAGATACGTAGGCACAAGGGCCACAATTCTTGGCGAGCACAAACCCTCATATCAGTAGTTTCCCAAACTACGTCGACTCTGACTTTCTCATATCCGTTGAGAATACGTGGGCCTGGGACCGCGAAGTCCTACCGAGTCCGTTCTTTCCCTTCTTCCCCCAGTTACCTCCTTTCTTAGTTTCTAAACCCACTTTCTTTACCCTTTGGAAAACACTTTTATAGCATAACATTTAAGCAAATAAATTCACACATCGACAAACAAATGGTTCCCATCGAGTACGATGGATGCAAGGGGTGCTAATACCTTCCCCTTGCATAACCGGCTTCCGAACCCGTTATTGGTTGCGAGACCATCTTATCCGTTCTTTTCTTAAGGTTTTCTCGATATTTTCCTTTCCCATCATTGGATAAATAAAGTTCGGTGGTGACTCTTCTGTCCTTTTCCTTTTCGCCTTCCCCGTCGTTGCACGTATTTTTCGAGTAGCGACACTAATTATTTAAAAAAACCCAACGAATGAGATCATCCGGAGATGCGTCTTCGTAAAGAACCTTATTTTTTTTTAAAAAGGCGAATCCAGAGATGTATCTCAAAGTCTTTCATGAAGATAGGATAAGGATTTTAAGGTCCTTATTATTCTACACCTTCTATAAATAGGGTCTCTTTTTCCATTTTCTTTACAAGAATTAGAATGAATCTCTATCCCCGTCTTGAATTTATGTATTTCAATGACGCAAAATCCTCCGCTTCAGTTTAGGGTATTCGAGGACATACTTTTTTTAATATTTGGAATCTAAACTAAATCATCTCCTGCAATATCTAAAAAATCAGAGAGTTGTTAAACTCAAGTATCATTCACCCTCCATTGAGAACGAAGGAAATATATAATTCACTATGCTTGAACTGAAGACAAATGATGATTTAAAGGTTACATGAAGTACCTTTTACCATTACTTAACAAATAATCTGATTGAAGAGGATGCGATGATTCAAAGATCAACCAAATATATTATAAGGATGTAGTAACGTCCTGAATCACCAGTTTGTAATGACATGTAATGTTAAATTTATTTAATGTTTATATATGTAATGTTTACTTTCATGTTAATTTATGTTGATTTTCCATTTCGCCATTGCTTTTTGCCTATTTCTGGTATGAACAAACATAGCATATTCTGAAATCTCACAGAATAATGAATTAAGGGGGTTTCAAAGATGCATCTCCGAATCAACCTTTTGTACATACAGAAATGCATCTTTGGATCAAATTTAAACATAACAAGTGTTTCCAAACAATTTCGTTGAGATGTGTGTGGAAAAAAGTGCATCTGAAAATGTATCTCTAAACATTATGGATATTTATGTCTTTTCACAGTGGTATTAGATCATCAATAAAGGTGGAAAGAACAACTCCCTTAAATATTTGATTAGTTATTTTTATTATAAAATTTGATTGGATTCGGCTTTAAACCCATTTATTTTTCACATTGCCTTTAATTAAGTCTCTTTCTT